CCTACAAAATGGCCGTTTAAAATTCGCTCCGCATACAGACACAGTTGCATTATATACATAGAAAATGATATAACAGGATAAATCATACTTCTTATAATGGCCGTTCAAAATTTCGAGATTAATACGTATCGATAACAAAGGTTCTGAATAACTTGATGTTATTTTCCTACCTAGTCCCATGAGCGTTTGTGACATACTCTGTAGAGTTTTAATTTTTTTTCTTATTAGTTTTTTTTGGGGGGATCAATACTTTTCTTTACCTTCTAATTTTCTACTTACGTTTTCCTGCCAGAGTGAATTTTCAGTATTACGCTTTGTGCAACTAAGGTAGAATCGAACATTTAAGCAGAATTACTTCAGAATGAAAGCACGTTCTGCTATTCGGCCACGTTGTTGCTATTAGTCAAAGCTTGCTATTCCATGGCCTACTCAATACACGTCTGCTAGTATACGCCAATATTCTTAATTAAGGCCAAACTCCGCGAGTTTGATTCGGTGCAGCTTCGACTGATTAAATTTATTAGCATTAGTTTAGTTTTGTATTTTCTATTTTGAGTTAAAACGCAAGTGCAAGATTCTTGTACGCCCAAGAGGGAACATATGCAAATATATTTTGAGTAAGAATAAAAGGGTAATTCAATCCTTCTCTGGAGTTTTTACTTAAGCACAAGAACTCAGCGAATAGTTGCTACACAGTTCTTCAGTATTCTGACATTCAAAGAACATTACATTTTAATTAGGATATAAGGTATTTCTCCCACTTCCCTAGCGTGCATTCGTGGTGTAACGGTAGCACGCTGGGCCGGTATTCCAGAGGTCCGTGGTTCGATTCCCGGCGAAGGCGGTTACATATTTTTCACCTTTTCTGCCTCCAATTTCCTAATGACTCTACAAGGATATCACAACTGTCTCATTAATTGCTTATGTTATTGCTTTATTATTATTAAATAACTATCAAATATATCTTAAAATGATAAAACAGAAAGAAGCCTTTTGGGAGCAACGGCAGCCGTCTACGGAAGACGGGATCTGTGTGCTGGTCCATCCTTCCAACTTTGCATTATGATTTTCCTTCATAACTTGGTAAAATTGAGCCGGTATATGCTTCTATGATAAGAATTTCATATGTGACGTAATCATTAAATAAGACAGCTTGCTTTTCTAAAAAACTATTGACTGCGCTGCATATAGCTGCGTCTTAACTTTCTATGGCAGTTTATAATTGGCGATGCATCTATGTTTTACTTCGTGTTTTACCACAGGATCTCAGTAGTGTACCCGACCTCAGTCACCATACGCCCAGAAAGGTCAGTTCATTTGCACGTTTTGGCAAGTATTCCACTAGCCAAAAAACATATACTAAAGACTCTACCTTGATGTTTCCTCTTCAAAACAGAGGATCTGAGGAACTCATAAAAATATAAAGAAACATTACATGCCTATTACACATAAATATGGCCTTACCTTTACCACACGTTTTATCAGTGACGGTTTTATGGACTTGAGGGATTTATATTCTAGTGATTGCCAATCATGTTTGAAGATGGCTTACACGTCCTATGGAGTCACATACTAAGGAACAGATTTTCCATTCGCATTCTTCATACATTCCTAAACTTGAAATGTTGTCCGTACTTCCTTTGACAGAAACTCAGCTAATACAGCGTTGTTTGATGCTGTCTGTTCTTCAAAATGTTTTTTCTATATTGAATATAATAGAGTGCGTCATATAAACCAATAAACCATGACAGCTGCTTTGGTAGCAAAGGGTGGCGTAATACTCTCAAAATATTTAAACTCTGTTGCATTATTTTACACTGCGGGAAAAAAGGGACAGTTCTATATTTCCCTTTCTACTGGGTGGATTGACGAAATTCAACTTGCATTTTCCATGTCTTGTGAGCGCGACTTAGGATATATAATATATTTATATATAGCATTGTTCTCATATAGTTATTTTGGCATAAAATCGGACTTTTTCTGAAATGACATGTCAATTGTTTTCTATATTTCGATTCTACGACTCAAAATATGCGAAACTGCCAAGTTATATGAAAATCGGAGGAGTAGTGTTTCAAAAATTAGCTCTTAAAATTTTAGCTCCTCAATGTTAATTCAATTTTATATATATTTATTTATATCTCTTTTTTTATTAAGCTTACTTTATTCCTTATTCCAGAATTCGAAATTTATGTTCATTCCAAATAAAATTCACCCATTTTTTATGATTTAGTCTTAAAATTTGTATTTTTAACAAATTTTTTATAATTTTTTCGTAAACAATTTTGAATGATAACCTATGGCATTGTTACTATTATCTTAAGTATCTTAAGTATTAAGTAGATATATTTCTAAGCATACATGCAAAAAGTTAGAGATTTTTATTCAAAATTTAATAAGATATACGTGAATTACCATATTGGCGTGTTTTGAAATTTGGAATATTTGTTATATGCGATAATAACGCCAAATGTCGTTTAGGAACTTTATTTAAATTATTTGAAATATGAATGATGAGTTTTTTCCCGCTCATATACAGACAGACAGACAGAAAGAAGTACAGGAGGCACCAAAACATCGCCATGGGCAAAACTGGTATCGCCCCACTGCACTAACCATCTATAGAAGTGTACCCTGACCGGGCACGCTAACACCATGCTCGGGAATTAGTGTACATTGCAGCAAGCAGCATTCATAATACACTGTTATATATTAATGGTGCATAACTTGCATTGCAGAGAATATTGTCTCAGATATACTTTTACACGGGTACTTTGCAGTTGAATGGATAGATACAATAATTACAATGGATAATTACAATAAGTTATTTACAGATGTATATACATATTTTCTTTTGTGTTTCGGTTTGGAGCTTTGTTGGTGGGGGGAGTGTTTATGGTATGTGGTTCGTTGTTTGTTTGGGTTTTTTGTTGCACGATTCAGCAGTTTATAAGTTTATCATTCATAGTACAGATCATAGTTACAAGCATACAGTTTATGAATTAATTTCATGGTACATAGCGTTGAGTACGTATTTCTGGTGCATCTGTCACACATTACACAGTATGAAGTCAGTTCATAGTTCGTAGTTTGAGTATGTATGAAAAAAGTTACGGTTGTCTCAATAAATGGATATATTTATGTGTGTTTTCTAAAGGCATCCTAGGTGAGGGTATGAGGGTGTGAGTGGATATTCTTACTGTTGCATTTTATGAACTCTAGAGAATAATTTTGGGGTTGTAAGCTATGGATGACATAGGTCCAGTCCTTGAATCAATAATATTTTTGATGTTTTGGAAAACTTTACGGTGCTTAATAATGAATCTTCTAAATTCTATTCCAGTGTCGGTGGGAGGGCGAATGTGATGGGCTGACGTTAGCGGACACTGAAACATGTAATGTTCAGGGTCTCCGCATTCCCCGCATATGCATCTATCCGATGTAACCATATTGCGATCATAAAAATACTTGGGGAAGGGATCGTGACCCGAGATGTACTGGGTGAGGAAGTAGGTTGAAATTGTAGTATTTTCATCAGCCTTGGGTAATAGTTCGAATGTACGTCATCCTTGTGGTCCTTGTTCCCATTGGCGTTGCCCCTTATCATTCGCCATAAGCAGAATAGGTTGCTATAAATTAAGACGTTCGCCAAGTGAATTATTCTCGGCGCAAACTGAAAACATGAGCCAAGATAAATTTTTAAATTTCTTCATAAATTTCTCACCAAAAGTTACAAAATTTATTATATAGGCATAATTTGAGTCCTATAATCGAAATATGGAAAACAATTACCATGTCATATCAGAAAAAGTCCGATTTTGTGTTAAAGTACCTATATTAGAACAAATATATATATATATATATATAAATCTAATATGTATCCTAAGCCTCGCTTTCGAAACATGACAAACGCAATTGGAATTTCGTCAATCGGTCGAGTAGAGCGGGAGATATAGGACTGTCCCATTTGTTTTTATAGGTCTGTCCCATTTGTTTTTATAGGACTGTCCCATTTGTTTTTCGCAATGTACCTTATTTAAACTTGAAACTCATTAAACGGCTTTCTTACAACAAGTACTAGAATAATATTCGATTAAAATCCAGGCATCATGGCCGCAGCCAAATATTTCGAACAATACCTTGTAATTTATCCATAAATATGCTGCATATTTCATTTGAAATATTAGTCATAAACTAGTCTGGTCAACGAGGTCTATTTACGTGTACTTTTTTATCGTAATTTTTCAGTAAATAAAATTAAGAGGGAAAGCAAAATTATAATAAGGGCCATCAAGATATCTGCAAGTCTTCATTGACAGTACTCCTCTGCTTCTGCGCATAGTATCTTTTAATGTGTCTGCTCGCTCTCCATCTTTTTGAATAAACTACATATTCTGCAAGATTTCGGGCCCACCAGCGGCCGAATGTCTTAATCTTAGATTTAGAAACTTATTAAAAAAGTCATTTCTAATGCATTTTTGCAGCTGCATCTTTTATAATACTTCTTTCTTCATATACGTAAGAAAAATAAAAATCACTTTCAAACTGAATTTTTAGAAAATTCATTACCTCGAAGGAAAGTTTCGTTTCTCGATACAGTCATTTTCATGAAAATATTTTCATTTTTAATAACTATGATTATTCTAATATTGAAATCAAATTTAAGGGAAACAAAGAAGCATTTATTTCCTTTTATTTAGAAAACAACTCTAAGTAAGCAGATTCAGAAAATGCACTGTAATGACAAGGCATAAGACTAATATTTTAAACCTGTTTGAAAGGCCGCTAAATATAAAACTGAATAAAAAAGAATAAAATATTTAGCGATTTTTAACCTGTAAAAAATAGCGTTCAGTAAAAGAAAAGCTTTTATTTAAATGAAAGTTTTAAGCCGAGTTTTCTATGAAGACTATTTTTTATTGCTTAGTGTTGTGCAGTCGTATTTCCTGATATGCTAAGAACAAAAAATATAACTACGCTTCTAAGATATTTATAATTACCTGACTTTTGTAGAAAAGTTCCGTAGTTGTTATATGAATCAGCATTATTTGGGTCCATAGATAGAGCTTTAAGATGAAGGGTTTCCGCTTCTTCCAGTCTTCCCCTTTCTGCATGAATATTAGCCAGAGAAGAATAAGCTTCTATAAACTCCTTATCTAGCTCTACAGCTCTTTGAAGAAGTTCTTGAGCTACTTGGACTCGTCCTTGTTTGCTGTTAAAACAGAAAAAAATAATTGTTGCATACCTATAGAGGTATCAATGTATTTATTGTTATCATTAAGAAAATACACTCAGTGTCAGCAACTGAAACAACCTAACGTTATTAATCAAATATGTCAAAATAGCAACCTTATTTAAGTCTAAGTAATAAAATATCATAATTAATACATTATTATATTCAAAGTTTACACTAACACAAAGCACGCTCAGTTTATACATAAGGAAAAAAAAATACTATGGTCATGTCGATGACAAAAATAAAATTTACCTCGTATGACAAAAAGTAAACGTGATATTTAATTAATAAATTTGAGATCATGTTCAGGGGTCGTAGATAAATTACACAGCGAAGTACTCGCATTTATATATAAGTCAGAATGGTTTTGTTTTATGTGATTAAGACAAGGCCTCGAGGGCTATCTGCCTAAGGGTAGGGATGCCTTCGTGGTGGACTTTCTAAAGTGAATTGGCTCGTATACATGTTAAACCTGAGGAAAACCACGAAAATATCTATGTAGCCAGCCCGTTCGCGAGATTCGAGCCTCGGACCGAACTGCCAGTGTTTAACGACTTTACCGCTCGGCCTCTGCTGGGCCTATAAGTCAAACTGAAATATCAGTTTAGAAAACGGTTTCTGAAGTTAACATATTATGTGATTAACATTTCTATGTAGATGGTCATCAAAAGTACAGATGAAAATAAATGCTTTCTTAAAGATGATTTTAGTACCAGAATACTGTAGAATTCGTGTCATGATAAGCTTCAGTATTGACACATAGCCAACAATGTTCAGGCCTCGGTAAACAGTGTTGCTCGTGACGTCTGCCACGATTTATTAAGTGCGGAGTTTGATTTTATATTGGATCTGGAAACAAAAAAAACTTAAAAAAATGAAATGTTTATATTTAAACCAGTTGCATGCATAATAATGAAAATAAAACATGCATATAAACGCAAAGAACTCAAAACATTATTTAAGCCATTTAAAAGTCAAAAAAAAAAATTCTGGGTTGAGAAGTCTTTGTATGATTATTAGATTACGGCTCTTCAGTAGTAAAACTGCATGAGAATATTTAATAACCTGTTTTTATTATTTTAATAATTATAAATTACTTGTATAAACATTCTTTCGGCATATCGAAGTTAAAATAAAAATATAGGCTAAAGAGCTTTGCCCACTAGTAAATAACAAAATAATATCACTGAATGATATTAAAAACACAAGAATCTACCTCGAATTATTCTAATTTATTTTTTAGCCGACCTCTTAAGAAAAGATGAAGAACATGACAGGAATCCCAAATTCTGAAATAAAATGCATCTGTCGATTTTTGTCGTATGGAACTCAAAATGTTTTGTGTTTTAAACTTTATAATGAATATAAACTTTTACTAAATATAAGGACAGGTAGCCATACCGAAACTTAGATGCCGTATATTTTTCTAATTTTTTTTTACTTAACTAAAATAATAATTTTTGCATCATTTAAAACATTTTGTAACTGGAAATGTATGTCTAATACGAACAGTTGAGAAAGTAAATGCGACATGAGGGCATATTCAATATTCTATCTCATAAATGTGCATGTAAAGGCAGGCAGAAAGTGTAAATGATTTTGGAAAGGTAAATTACCTTTACAAAAGACACACGTTAAAGAAAAAAGATTAAAAACTGAATTTTTAATCTTGCTGGTTTATAACTGCGTTTTCAAGGCCTCAGCTGTTTTATCCGTTTGTTTGAAGTTTCAACATAATCAGTAGCTTATTAGGCAGAGGTATTTTAAAATTATATATATCTTACATAACAAAGAAATAATTATGTAATATGATAATATACATTTATTTTTTGGAATAATTAAAATGGTTTCCAGTTTTTTTTTATTTATATTATTTGCAATTTAATGTAATGCTGCTGTCCTTTAACGCGGCGCAGCTTCGGCAGATTTTGCCTTATACGCCTTGAAGACAGTGCTATATTGAGACAGATATTGGTAGAGTTTTTCAATAAATACTTCCTGAATCTTAAGGGGGCTCATACATTTTAAACCCCTTATGATCTTCGAATATGTGACTGTTGCAAGAATTGGAATATTTTATTTATTTTTAAAACAATTACTTCCAACGTTTTACAGCTGACTACATAATATAGCTGTTTCGGAAACAAGTAACCAGAGATTTTGCGTTGCCACAAATATTTTTGTAATTTAATCCGCTCTGTGACGAAATGTTTCGTCATGTTTCCACCTTGCGCGCATAATATTTTAAAAACGGCTAATGGTACATATTTGAAATTTGACGGAATTCTTTATATGGGCACTATTTTTTAACTGAATTAAAAATCTGATGAATATTTTAATATAAAAACATTTTATGCACGAAAACATTACATATTTTTTTAATAAAATACATTTTATAAACTCAACTCCAAATAAAATAAAAATTTAACATACGAAATTCTTATAATTTTTGGTTAATAGTAGTTTCCAAAGTGTTATAAAGAAGCTATATATTAAATATGGAATTAAATTATGCAACAGAATGTTTTCAACTGTGCGCGCAAGGAGGAAACATGACGAAAGATTTTATCACAAAGCGGATCAAATTATAAAAATATTTGTGGCAACATAAACTTTCTGATTACTATTTCAGAAAGCAGCTATATTGTGTAGGGAGCTGTAAACAATTGGAAGTAATTGCTTTTAAAATAAATAAGTTATCCCAATTCTTGCAACAGTCACATATTCGAAGCTCTTTTCGGTTTTAAGGTGTATGAGTCCCCTTAAGTGATTATTCCTAGAAATTTTGAATAGCTCAGTATATGGTGTAATAAATAAAATAAACTTATTTGAAGATAAAGTACTGTTAAAAAGTCATTCAACATCTGTATCCCTTTTATTTCACTTCCAATACTTTCTTTAAGTTAAGCAGCTAGCGTAATGCTAATGTTCGCATTTTCCTTATTTTCTGCAACTGTTTACTGACAATATTATGAATACATTCTTCATATGATAGGAAAGATATTTCGCGATATTTTAAATGCATTGCCTGACAAGTATACTGCGCGACAGAATACAATGGAAAAGACAGACTCTTGCGGAATGTCGAGACTTGTGTCAGGAAGTTCAGTAGTGCGAAAATATCGATTTCTGAGTCCACGAACTATTTCTCTGTCAGTTTTCTATTTAAACAACATGTATGCGGAGCACATTCTTTTGAAACAAACTATTGAAAACGTCAGTTCAAATTTCGTTTCATAAAGAATACATCTTACCAATATATTTTCTAAAGTTTTATAAAAATGAAATCTTATACATAATGCATGAAATCTGATTGTATCTCGAAAATTAAGAGGGCTCATACACTTTAAAACGCTTAAGATCTTCGTATATATGACTATTGCAAGAATCGGAATAATTTATTTATTTTAAAAACAATTACTTCCAACTTCTTATAGTTGACTACATAATATAGCTGCTTTAGGAACTAGTAACCAGAACTTTCATGTTGCCACAAATATTTCATAGTTTAACTTGCTTTCTGACAGAATATTTTACGCGTTCCCATCATGTTTCCAACTTGCGCGCATGATATTTTAAAAATGGCTAATGGCGCGTACTTGAAATTTGATGGAATTCTTTATATGGGCACTATCTTCTGACTGAACCAAACATCTGATGAATATTTTAATATTAAAAAAATTTATGCACGAAAACATTACAGATTTTTTAATAAAGTATATTTTATAAACTCAGCTCCAAATAAAATGAAAATTTAATATCAAATTCTTAGAACTTTGGGTTGACAGTAGTTTACATTCACAGTAGTTTGTAAAACGTGTATGTATGACGTGCGCATGTATGTATGTGCATATACGTCTGTGGTATATACATACATACATACGTACGTATACATGTATACATGAACATATGCATACATGTATACATTTTTTAATCCGGTCTCGATAACAGAAGAGTACCCTTTTTTCGTTGGCTGAAATGCTTAATTGTTAATTTAACTGTACTAGCTGATAAAGAGCGGAAATTTGTGAACCTCGACGCCCTGCGTGTTTTCTCTTTTTTCATCTTTTTTGGCAGCTGAATGAGTCAGTGTTATTAAGGAGGTTGTTGTACCTCTCACATACAGCGAGGATAAGTCTGGCAACAGCTGCAGGAAGAAAAACTTGGCAGTGCTGGAATGGCAACAGCGGATGATATTCTATAGATTTTTAATTTTGATTTTGAGTCGATGTTTTTTTGCGTCTTTTGCGATACTATTGCGTTATAACATTTGAGTTTTGGGTGAATGAAATGGAATCCGCTGTCCCGCTGCGGATATTAGTAAAATATATTTAGAAAATTAACTGCGTTGGAAAGGATGAATCCTTGTGTTTGAATTTGCGGTATTTTTCCTCCTAAAGTTGCGTCGAGTTCAGAATATTATGCCAGGCTTATTCACGCTGGTGCAGATAAGTTAAAATTTTGTTTATTGTGTTTATAGTGAATAACTTGCAAATATATGAATAGAATTCTATAAAATAAATATTTAAAATTCTGGAATGGTGTTTTAAAATTTTAGATGTAGAGTATTCACATTGCTATGTCGGAGCCAGTGGCAGTCAGGTGTAAAGTAAAATTGTTTTTGCTGCACGACATAACAGAGGTGCTTTTGCTGTTGTGATTCCCACGCTTATTTAAGGGAGGGGTCATACACCTTCAACCCCTTATGGTCTTCGAATATGTGACTGTTGCAAAAATTGGGATGTTTTATTTATTTTAAAAGCAATTTCTTCCAACCTTTTACAGCTGACTCCATAATGTAACTGCTTTGGAAACTAGTAACCAGAAAGTTTGTGTTGCAACAAATATTTTTTGTAATTTAATCCGATTTTTGTGACAAAATTTTCGTCATGTTCCCACCCTGCGCGCATGATATATTAAAAATGGCTAATGGTACATATTTGAAATTTAATGAAATTCTTTATATGGGCACTAGT